TATTTGGGGCATGTTTCTTTGTCTCCCCATTTTTGGCTGCCTCTCTGTATTTGTTTCTGTGTATTAAGTCCCAGTCTTGGTAGGGTGGCCTTAGGTAGTAGGTGTCCTCTGGGGCTGTGATGAAGTCTCCCTGATCACCTGAGTTAGGTGCTCCAGTAATGCCCATTGTGTGGGTTATGTGAGCCCTCCTGTTTGTAGTTGAGTCTTGATTAGCTGACTATGAAGGTGACCCTGACCACAGTATATGAGCTGCTAGTCAGGGGTTGAGCCCATGAAGCAGAATCTGCCCCACAGGGGTTGGTGCCTGCCAAGATCTCTTTTTGGGTGTACCTCTTCTGAAGCTAATTGGGTCATGCTCTGATGTGGTCTGAAACCCACCACTGGGTGTATTGTTTCTGGGGTCTCTTGGGAGGGACTTCAGTGCAGATCAACGTCAGAGGCTGCCTTTGACTGGTCCTGGGCTACCTGTTAGGAGCTACAAAGTGATTTATTGTTTCTGGCAGCCTCTGCTGGGCCTGGGTGCACATGAGAGATACTAAGCTACATACCAAGGTCCTGAGGCCCAGGACAGATCAGTTAAAGAACCAAGGCACCCTGAGATCCACTTTCACCTGATGGCTGCCTGTTAGGATTAGTCACTGAAAGCCTCTGGCAGTAGTCCTGAGGTAGGTTCTAAGTGAGTCATCAAGTAGGAGTGAGTGGTGCTCACCAGGTTGATAGAGCTTCAAACTCGGTGACAGTACTGGGTCTCAGGGAACATTAAGGCCAGCTACCACCCATCTGGGGTCTCTATGGTGAAGCAGGGGCTCAGGAAGTCATTAGGGTGAGGCCAGAAGAGTTCATCAGGCTAAAACAAATTAATATTTGGTCATGTGGAGGGAAGGCTCTTCACAGGAACAGTGGCACTGGTAGAGGCATGGGTGGGGCAGGGCTTTACTTCCTCAAGAGCCTTCCAAGAAAGTCTGCACTGCAGGCCCAGGCTGGCCACATCCAGCAAATTCCCCCTCAGGGCGGGACCTTGACAAGGCAGTGCCAAAGGGAGTCAGGAGAGTGGGGCTTGTGCATTCCCCTCCAGGTGAATGGAGGGGAGGACTCAACCCAGGAAAGATGGCATCTGTGGGTGGTGTGGGAGAGGGACTCAGCACAAAGACAATGGAATCTGACCCTCTAGCCTTCTCCTTGAAGCCGCACAACCTAGTCTCTCCCTGTATGACTCCAGTCTGCTCTGAGCTGCCATCCTTCTGCTGCAGCCCAGAGTGAGTGATCACAAATTTTGTATGCTGACCCTTTAATAGGGTGCCTGGTTTTCTAGCAGAATTTTGTCTCTCCCTGGGCAGGTGGAATCTCAGATGATTTTCACAGCCAGATGTTATGCAGACTATTCTTCTAGGCACTGGTGCTCTGGGATGGGGAGCTCAGTATGGTTTTGAGACCCCTTACTCCTCAGAGGGGACCTCTACAGTTGAGATATCCCTTCCAATTCTCAATCACCATATATGGGTTTGGAGCCAGCCCTTTTCATGTCTCTGCCCTTCATATCAGTCTCGATGTGCTTCTTCTTTCTGCAAATCCTTGTTATGGGACTTCTGTTCAGCTAGTCTTCAGTTGGTGATTCAGGTTGATTGTTCTATATGTTAGTTGTAATTCTGATCTAGTCCTGGGAAAAGATGAGTGTAACTTCCACCTACTCTGTTGCCATCTTCAATCTCTAGTTCTGGATTCTGGAGTTCCAAGATCAGGGTGTCAGCATGGTCAGGTTCTAGAAAGGGCCCCCCTCTTCTTCCTGTGTTCAAGGTATTTTCGCCATAAACATCTTTGCCATAAACCTATGTTTTCCTTTTCCAGAATAAAATAGTAATTTAAAAGTCTGTAACTTGGCATGTAGATGAACTATAAGGTACTTTTCAGTTCTATGGTTTCATGATTAGACTTTAAAAGAAAAAAAACCCACCAAATATACTTGTTCTCATATGCTATATGCAAGAAACTGGCAATAATAGTTCTTGGGAAGGGAAACTTACTTTTTCCTTGAACTAAGCTTTTTTTTTTTTTTTTTTGCACTGAGCTTTTTAATATCATGTATTATTTACTACTAATACAAATATTAAAAAAACAAATACCTTTGAAATTTAAGTAGACAAAACATTTTATTTGTTAAAGCAGAGTTCTTCCTTTATAAATGTTTACATCCTGCTCTTCTTGCTCAAACTTATCATTAGTGAATTTAAAAAATAATAATACTTAGGAACTGTGGGAGGTGGAACGGAGATACAGAAGGTTTTGATCATGGAAATTGCTGTTTATTCTGAAAATATTTTTAACTACCTGTGATAGGTCCTGGGCTGGGTACTTCCTCCTTTCCATAACTTCTAGAAGGCTTCTTGTGTAAACACCCACACATATTTCTGTTCTTTGAGAGTTCTGCATGCTTAAAATGCTTCCCATAGATAAGAGGTGGTCTATTCTCCATGAATTTAGCAATGGGCTCACCTGCAGGGAGAATCACCAGATATTAAGGAAAGTTCCAGGTGTCTGGTTGAGGCAGAAACTACATTGATGACCTACCTGCAGGTGAGATGGAGGGTAGTTGTACTGGTTTGGGGAGGGAGGTAGTAATCTTGAACTAGATCTGCCATATTGAGAAAATAAAAGATAAAGAGGAAGATTAAAAAAAGAAAGGAAGGTGGTAGGAAAGGAGGGTGGCAGTGGAAACTGATACAGGGATATTTTAACTCATAAAATTGTTGTATTACACAAAAGCTGATTCCAAAGATTTGTAAACAGAATCCTGAACACACTAATATAATTGTATACCACCATCTAATACCCTACAGAGCACAGGATAGGGTGAGGTAGGCCATAAAACGTAAGGGAATGTCAAAGACTTGGTAATCAGGATAAATAATTTCTTAAAAATTTTTAAAATACGTTTTTATTGATTTTAGAGAGGGCAGGGAAGGGAAAGATAGATAGAAACATTGATGAGAGAGAAGCATGGATCAGTTGCCTCCTGCACACCCCCCACTGGGGAGCAAGCCCTCAATCTGGGTATTTGCCCTGACTAGGAATCAAACTAGTTATGTCTTGGTTCATGGGTCAACACTCAACTGCTAAGCCACCCTGGCTGGGCTCAGGATAAATATCTTAATAAGATATTTTAAAAATTAATGCAATAATGTATGATGAAAAATATAAAAATTTAAGATAACGGTGGGGTTAGCATTTCTGTTTTTTGTTTTTTGGTTTTTTTTTAAGACTCCAAAAGGCTTTGGGCAGGGCACTATTAGTGATCCTGCAGAAACAACCTACTCAGGTACTCTTTTATTAATGACTAGAGGCCCGGTGCACGGATTTTTGCACATTGAAAAGAAATTAATTAGAAGGTGTGTGGGGGGGGAGGACTGGGCTAGATGGGCAGGACACGCCCTGGAGCTAACCTCCCTCCCTTTGCCCCTGCCACGGTTTCACTGGAAGGACATTCGGCTGTCCGGTCTAATTAGCATATTATGCTTTTGTTATTATAGATGTTTTCCGAAAGTTAATTCTCACAATACCTCTTACATCAGTGCCTTTTCTCGAATGCCCCAGCATTTATCTATAGTTCTCTTCTGTCTGAAAAACCATTTCCCTTAGTAAGTGGTAGTACTTTGATGGCAATCTGAGTCATCTTGGATCCTTTCAGTTCCTTTCCAAAGCATAGTGGACACAGGGCACCTCATTGCTAAATGAATGCAGAAATCATAGACCTCAAATTGGCTGTCTTAAGGCTTGAGCAGGGAAGGAACCCGGGTATATTTTGTTTGGTACAGAGTGATTTTCTAAAATTGAATACATTATCAAGATTTTAAAATCAGAATGTTTTATATGAAAATAATCTAAATCTCTCATTCCTTGGAAAATCAGAAAACCTAGCAAAAGTAGGCCCAAATTCTTTGAGGATAGCAACGGGCAATTTAGAGCAGAGTGGCTCTGCCCCTAGAGCCCTCTCGTTCTCCACCCCCTACGCGGTTTACTCATGGGCATTGCCTGCCAAGCCCCATGAACTCTTTGCATTTGCCCCACAGGAATAAAGGAGCAATGGCTAACACCCATCTGTTGGGGCCATTCGTTCTCTCCTGGAGAATAAATGTTCTCCTTGCCCTTCGAATACAGCTTTGCACAGAAGATCACAGAAACAGCTCACCTTCCTAGTGGACAAACTTCCCACAACCCATGAAACTTGCACTGCCCTCCGCACATTGTTTGACCCAGCCCTTTGCTCCAGGGTCCCCTTCCTTGCATAGGGCCTTCCCGGGGTCGCCCACCATCTGGGATTTGGAGCCCAGAGGCGGGTCCCCGGCCCGCAGCCGC